GGTGAAGGGGGATAACACCCGGGAAAGTTTTTCCAAAGTCTGCATTTTCGGACAGATGAACCGGAGGGGGACGTTTCCAGGTACGCTATGCTAGCTTCTTGTGACAGACAAACAGAGGGTATATTCAGTTTTGTCATATTTTTGGCACCGATAAAGGTGTCGATCATCGCCTTCCATCTTTCTTCCGTGTTTGTTCTTACTTAATTAGCTGCTCCCTCCGTCTCATGATGTTGTGCATATAGATTTTAAAAAAAAAATAAACCTCATCAACTTTGACCAACTTCGTGAAAAAACATTTACGTCTAGATTGCCAAACATATATCATATTTCATCATAAGACTTAATTTCATATTTTAAATATTTGATATTGTAGATATAAACAGTTTTCTCTATGGACCTAATCAAAGTTTGACTTTTAAAAATCTATACATACTACATTACGAAATGGATGGAGTACCTTTTTGTACGGTGGATATCAACTAAATCATATATAGTTTCAATCGTTCCTTAAGATGTGACACACCAATTAGGCTTTGTTTGATAGCTACCTGTTCCGTGCAACTAAGCGATGATGTGATCGATGGTTTTCTCTGCGATGGAGCAGGGCTTGGCTCATGAGACTTGCATCGATATGATCCTGCACTCTTGTGTGGGCACCAGAATGCACAATAATCTTTCACATTTCCAAAAACAAGAGATGGAGTTTAAGCAAGGCTATCCAGAATGACGCTCGGGTAGATCAAATTCAGTTCACAAATGGCCTAACAGTGCACACATGACATCTAGGAGTTCATCTCACAGTGGACTAATGTGGCACAAGTGCATCTTCAACACGATGAACAGGACATCGTCGAAGAAGATACAATTAAAGAGATCTCAAAACAACACCCATTTGCAAGAAACCACTCAATAATTATCTGAATTTACCAACACGGCCTTTACCACCTGATTTATCCTCTGTTCTTGGTGGAGGACTCTACTGGTCCAATGTGACATAAGCGACTCCCAGCTTCACAACATCAACCAACTCATTCGCCATGGCCGTCTTGAACAATTCTTCATAATCGATCACAAGATCTTGGCTGATGCTGGTGCTCTGCACGACGAGCTTGTCGTCGCACCGCATGTATGGCGGCGCCGCCTCCTGCGCTTGCAGAATCACGACCACGTCACGGCTGTAGAATGGAGGGATGGTCCCTTGGCCTGGCCGCACACTGTACTTGTTCTTATCGATCAATATGTTGAATGCGATGAAGCCACCCGTGTTGTTGGTTAGGTGCAGGCAGCACGACGCTTCCTTCCTTAGCTCAAAGAGGAACCTCAGCACCCTGGGCGGATCCACCGACAGAATGTTAGCGTTGCAGCTTCTCTGCAAGGGTAAAAAGAAGAGGTTGATTCGTGCAGCCAAATCAAAAATAAAAAAATATCATTGCGCAGGTACATATTCAACAGAAATTGGACAGGCCAAAAATATTGAAATAGAGGATTGCAAACATTAATTGAAGAAAACTACAGGGGCACACATGTATTCCCAGTGGTCAAGCAAACGTACCTGGAAAGTGAGGTCTTTTGGCAGATCAGAAGCTAGTGACATTTTCTCAATCTTAGCTTCTAGTTCCGCAAGTTCATGGACGACGTCCTTGATAGATGGCCTTTCTTTTCTGTCCTTGGCCACACACCTTAGTGCAATCTCCACAGTTGTACTCACTCGGAGGATATCTATTTGGTGCGAGGAATATCCAGGCTTTTCCTGCAACCTTCTCGTCCAGTTTTCAGTTACCTGCATGCAAAATTGTCACAGAAAACTCCCTTAGAAAAATAATGCTCAGGTCTGTAAAATGTGAAAGAGACGTATGTATGTCCACACCAACACGGTATAAACAGATAATTTGTACTAAAACCACGACACTTATTTTGCAACGGAGGGTGTAGATTTCTCTTACATGCTCAATGAAGTCTTTGGGAGACTTTTCAGCACGACAGAAGTAGCCCATATTACCGGCCATCATTTTTATAATCACCACTCCCAAACTGAATACATCAAACTTCTTTGATACAAAGCCACTTTCTACATATTCCGGGGGCATGTATCCTCTGCATGATCAGAAATATAAGAATATGTGGTTATTGCAAGACATAAGCATAAAGCCAGCTTAAAACATGCGTCAAACTTACTGTGTCCCTTTGGCAATCTCTGTTTTATGTGTTAATGTCGAAGAAACAAGTTTGGACAAACCAAGATCCGCGATTTTAGGCGTCATGCTCTTATCCAGCAATATGTTGGCTGGTTTTATGTCTAGATGGAAAATAGGCTTCTCCTGCGCGGTGTGAAGGTGATGTAAGCCCTCACAAGTCCCTCTGATGATTTTGTAGCATATGGGCCAATCAAGCTTACAAGATTCATCTGCAATTGGAAGTAAACACAGCAGCGTATCTGTCAGATATATGATGCCAAATCATTCATATGTTTTATCATTCATATATCTTTGATACAGGTCATACAAGAAATTTAATTACCTGTAATATGTTTATCGAGGCTTCCACCGTGCATATATTCGAAGCAGAGCACCCGTTCCATAATTTTCGCGAAGACGAGATCCCCTTTATGATCCATGTATTTGTTCCGAGTCTCGTAGCAGTAGCCAATTAGCCGCACAACATTTTGGTGGCGTACCTTACGAAGGTTACGGTATTCGGCGTGGTATTCACGGCAATTTCTTCTCCTTTATGAGTGGCCTGATAAATAAAACCGACAGCTTAAAATGGTACAGATCTTTATTGTAATAAATGTGAGAAATGCACAGAAAATAAAATGATTAGTCAATCATACCCTGTAAACATCTCCGTACCCACCGCTGCCAACTTTCTGTTCCTCTGCAAAGTTGTTTGTGATAGCTTCGATCTCATGGAGTTTAAAATCCATACTGCGGCTATCTCGCACCCAGCAGGCTTACAAGACGATCCTCTTCTTCTTCTTCCTCCTGAGAAACCAAAATTATAATGGGATACAACATCGGTCAAGGACTAGTGTGGCATATAGTTTCGGCGTTTGCTACTGTTGAGGTGCCTGAAGTTTTTCGCCGCATCAGTCAACTCCCACAAGAATCTCCAAGGGTGAGACGGGGACGTCAGGACCGCGCTGGAGATGGCGACGTAGCTGAGGCGTGCAGCCAGTTGACTTGTGGGGGTAGGGGGGGCTGAGATGGCCGCCGAGTGGCCGGCAACGGATCGGACAGGAAGAGGACCTAATCGGAGGCGAGCTGGAAGGAGGGGAAGTGGGCAGAGGCGTCCGCTGGAGCAAGAAAAAGAAGAGCAAGAAGAAGGCTGCTCGACCTGGATCTTGATCCGACAATGGAGTGTGATTTGACTATGGAAGGAAAATCCTATTCTTACATGATTTTAGCCAACCATCGCTAGAATGAACATGGTAGAAAAAGCAACGAAGAGCATTGCTCGATGTCCATGGTAGAAAAAGATTAAGCAAGATGGCGTCGTGGCACTGACCTGGGGCTGGAGAAGACGATGATGGATCTGGGTTGCTTGCTCGTCGGCGGCGAAGACGAGTTGCTCTTCGGCGACGATGATGGATCTGGGTTGCTTGCTGGTCCAGCAGCTCCTTGCAACCTTTCTAATAATGGAGGTAAGCGCGTTGCTGGTTGCACGGACAGCAAACGACGTTGACTTGACTCGAGTCTCCTTCACACTTTTTTTCTTCTCGGTCGGGAACCTCACGTACAGTACTACAAACACAAGACTGTGATGCCCACATCTCTATATACCCAGGAACTCGAGACGACCACCTTTTCATCTCGATGGGGGGCTAAGTTCGTATGAGATACAGAAATTATATGTTTATAAACTGGAGGAGGAAACGCCTTTTTTCCCGTGTCCAAGCGAAGATGCCGTATCGTAGTTCAGCAGCATGTTTCTTTTTCCTGATTGATGTCTATTTACTTGCTCATAAGAATCCCTACGGTTCGGCTCCATCCACGCCGCCTCTTCACCGTGTCAAAAAGTAGCCACCATCGCCGCCGCCGCGAAGAATGTAACGGAGGAGCCGCCCTCCCGCCACGCAGTACATTCGGCCAGTTCGACCTGCCAGTGTCACCGACATGCTGCATCTGACGCGGCAAGGCGTGAAGGAGGAGGAGGAAGAGGGCTCCCATTCCTTGCGAGCGCATATGGGCGCCTCTTGCACTACCTCGGTATCGACATCGGCAATACGATGTCACAAAGCTCCGCAACGGCAAATGAGAGGACGGCGAAGGAAGAGACACGGAGGGAGTGGCACAAAACATAGAGTTGGGCCGCATTCGCGGTGTCGGATGTCGTGCCGACAAGGTTTGCAATGACCCGGACCATGCGTTGCTTGGGCAAAGGATCAGTGTAGGACCACCGCGGAGACGTCCGTGCTATGTCGACGCCGCCTCAACGACTAGCTCATCAAGATTGTTGTGGCTGAGTTATTGCTCGCCGCCGCCCTTGTCACAGGCTAGGGCAAGATGAGGGCGAGTGCACCGAGGCGGCGTTCGCTGTCGACGTGGCCATGCAGGCGGTGACGCAGGAGGCCGATTGACTCCTCCACAAGCGGCGGTCAGCGGCCAATTAGGGTTGCTACGGCCCCTACATTCCCTTCCATCGCTGGAAGGACCGCGACGATAATAACTCCAAAGGCAACGGGGACGGTGACGGAGCAAGCAACGACGAAGGTACCGTTTGCCAGGGAGGGCATGTGTACCAGGTTACCATCCTGTACCTCGTGTAGTTTTTTGTCAGTTTCATTTAAGAAAATTAGTTGAACTTGTCAAATATCACCCAGTTTAGTTGTAATACGTTCAACTTTGCAAGAAAATCATTCGGTTTGCATCAAATTAGTCTTGTTTGTTCAATTTACATTTGAAACACGCTTGGAAGTTTCAAGCATGTAGTTGGATGATTGGCTCCAGATGCATATCTGTGGCCGCGTCGGCGGACATATAGTGAGCCTGACTTGCATCACGACGTTGGAGATGCCCTAACTCCATTTACCAACAAAAATATAAATTATATGTTTAAAACAAAATGTATTTTATGGTATATAACTCATATTATGTGGGTCCAATCAATAATCAAAATTAGGCTTTCAATGCAAGGTGACCTTGTATAAACAAATCAGGAGGATTTTTTTTGTCAAAAAGGAGGTACAGAAACTTGGAGAAAATGAGAGGTACTAAACACAACCTCTACTTCCGCACCATTCACTACATAAAATAAACTCAGATTTAAAATTCTTTGAAACTGTAGACGGGTACGTGCGGAAGCAAAAGTAACACAGATTCCCCTTTACGTACCTTGACCTGCCCCTAGCGCCACGCAGGGTGACAATTGACGATTGGGCATCTCTAAGTGGGAAAGTGGGAAAGAAAGTAAGCCCTTGGCGTGGCAAGTTCATGTCCTCCGCTGCAAGACTTGTCCTGACCAACTCTAGCCTTTCCTCGCTTCCCATGTTCTCCATGGGCCTTTTCCTGTTGGCGGTGGAGGCCCACGCCAAAATGAACACGCCGCGAGCCCGTTTCTTGCTCGTCCGCGGCGAAGAGGACTTGCTCGTCAGCGACGATGATGGATCTGGGTTGCTTGCTCGTCCAGCAGCACCTGGTAACCTTTTTAATAATGGAGGTAAGCGCGTTGTTGGTTGCACGGACAGCAAACGACGTTGACTTGACTCGAGTCTCCTTCACACTTTTTTTCTTCTCGGTCGGGAATCTCACGTACAGTACTACAAACACAAGACTGTGATGCCGACATCTCTATATACCCAGGAACTGGAGGAGGATTTAGAGAAATCCACCTTTTGATGGCCATGGGGATAAGTCCA